TGCGACTCGATGCATGTTCAATTTTTCAGTCAAAATTTCATGGCATGGCCCAATTGAGATGCTAATCTCTTCTGCAATTTTCCTGACAGTCAATGGAAACCATTAACAGTGCGTTCAACTCAGAGCATCTCCATCGTAAGCTTTTTCCAAAAGCTGAAACGTTTCCGTGTTTTTTCCCAGTTTCACGCAAAATTTTACGGTGACTCGTTGTTCCATATAATCGCAAATTTCAAGATTCGTCACCAACACTTAAATACTTTGCACTCAAATAACAATCCAGGAAAATGGGGTTACAGAGGATTATGCACAACGCAATGCTGCCAACCGCATATCATTAAATATTAGCTCCATTAGCGCGTAATTCAAAAGTTCCGTTATTTTCTGAACATATCTCGTATACAGTATTAAAATAATTACAGTGAACTGCTACATTTTTAACAATTAAAAAAGATACTCACGGAATAATTATAAAGAAATAAGTTGAGTACAGGTTTCATGAATCTAGAACTCAGTTTCCAAAAGATAAAATAGTATATTATATTGGAAAACTCATCGTGCTGTTGTCAGAATATAAACACCTAGACCAAAATGAAACTACTAACTAACTACGTAACATAATCCTTAATTATTACTATAATAAAATATCGGTAATACAAATCCGACAAGTCCTCAAATCTCAGACCTCCTTCACTCATGATAATTTATTTTATAGCTTTAGTGGTTATTTATTATTTTAATCAAAAGTATGCACTCAAAGAACGCAAAAAGTAAGTTCTAAAGTAAGTCTAAATTTTGTTAATATGAAAATTATTATATATAAATTATTATTCAGTTATTATACATAACTGAAATAATATCGGTAAGTACATTTATTGACATGGATACTAGTCATGCAAAAGCGTTATAAAGTAAAATATTCATAGTCATTAAGGTTAGTAGATACATATACCTATCAACTGCTGGAGATCCTGATAATGCTGATTACCTCGAATATTAGGTAGTATACCGCTGAGAGTAAAGGTGATCAAATATTGCAATTTTCTGAATAGTATTTAGGACAAAATTTCCCAATGTTATTTGAAGATGTAAATACTATTAAGTAAAATAGACGTAGTTTATACTTCCCAGTTTTTTAAATAGGATTAATGTGTAAGGATTTTAGGTAAAGTTACACAATAGTTGATCATGTGGGTGACATATAGGTAACAAATTAAGTCAACTGTGTACTTTTGCACTTTGTAAATCACTCAATAGGTAACATATAACTTAATTGGTTGCATCAAATTTAAATAAAACGCTTAGTAGTACCCAATGCATTTTAAAATATAATACTTCAATAATATACGTGATAGTACATTGTAAGAAATAAATTTAATTAAATGTATGAAATAGTATACTTAAACTTCTTGAAATTAATGCACATTTACATTTATTTTCAGAACCATTTATCTACTCCTTTTTCTACCATTGCAGTTTCATTATACTCAATATATTTTATTATTTATTTATTTATTTACTTGGAAATAACGGCTAAGGCTGGTGAGTGCCCAATTGCATAGGTACAATACAAATTGAAAATAGTTGAAACAAACAAAGAACAAACATAATATCAAATACACATAAGTGGACGAAATTATTAGATTTACATTAAGAATACATTTTTCTACATTAGCACAGAAAATGTCAATAAAATTTTGATAACGCTTAATTCATACTCATAACATGTATCGTTGCAAATTGAAGAATATTTGTCCTTGGTGTGCTGAAATAAAATAAAAATTTGTGACTAGTTCTAAAACTCAAAGTATTATAATTTAAATAATACAATACTGATCAATCAATTAACTGCTTAATAACTTGGATCAAAGTATTCTCTTAGGTGGATAAATGTCAGATTTGTGATTCATATTTAAGAAATTGCTTTTGAATAATTTTTATGAATGTCATAGCCTGGATTTCAGACAACATAGTAGATTCCAGTTTATAGCGCACAAGAGAGTAATAAAGGAGTTTAATAGTGTTCACCGAGAACTGTTTAGAATTATGAATAATAAATTCAAGAGATTTGTAGGCACACGTAGTACCTAATATCTTTAATGTTTAAAGAAAATGAGTTGCATGCAAAAATATTTATTGAGTGGTAAGTTGTTAGATCAGATTGTAGTATCTACCAAACAGTCGTCCAGATTTACGATAAACCTGAACAATTCTGAAGTAACCTCAAATAAATTTTTCTATTACTATAATATTAAAATCTTCGACTATTTAGATATGGGCCTGTAAACTCGATAAATGTTGAACGGTCAATTTCGTTTTTAAAATGGGTATTAACCTACCGATTGCCAGAGATGATTAACTCTTCCTTATGAGTAAGAAATTATTATTTTATTAACTTTTATTGATACTTATTATTACGTACTATACTTACAGCCCATACGATATTTCTTGAGATAGAATTCCAAGACTCCTGCGTCACTTTTCTTGAAATTAACCGCGTTCGACACCCGAGGTAGAAAGACATTGGCGGCGTAGCGTTCATTGTAGTAACTTGCAAAGCATACTGTTTTTAACAATTACAAAGGCGTACTAATTCGTAAGAGTATATCGTGTTTATATTATAATATTCTGAAAATAATGCGAAAAATTTTAAGGCACACTCCTGCTACGATAAATTGTTAAAGTAGTTTCGATAACAGAACTTTATTGGCTTATTTTTTTCTTGGAATTCTATTTCAACAAATAATGTTCGTACTTCATATGTATATTTTATGGTAAGTTACATGTGAAGCATTTAGTTTAGAAAAATAGACACTGCCCCTTTTTGTTTTATACTATTATGCAAATACTTACATATATATTTTTATAATGTAAACATAAAAGAGACCTCGACCTTCAGCTAACCCTGTACAACATTGCAGCGGCCCAACATTTCCGATCTATAATAATAACATACAACAAATATTAATACCTTTAAGCGATCTAATTATTTGTATTATATTTTATATGTATTAGAGATTTTTAAAAAAATTAAATTAAAAATGCCACATTGAATAAAGTGTTATTAAGTTACAAAATAGAAGTACAAATGCGAATATTTTAGAAGATTTTCGATAAAATTTGTACACTTTCCAAAGTAATTTCAGCCGCAGCAATTTACAAGGACCACATTACTTCTACTAAAATGTATATTTATTATAAATATACATTTTAGTATAATAGACATATAAACAATACTTTTTATGTGTCCCCAAAAGAAAAAATCCATGGGCGTTAGATCGGGAGAACGTGCAGGCCAAGAGATAGGTGCCTCATTGCCGCGACCTATCCAACGATTCGGGTAATTTAAATTATGGCACCGCCTAACTACTACAGCAGGAGCCCCGTCATGCATGTACCACATGGCCTGACGGACATTTAATGGTACTTCCTCCAGAAGTGGTGGTAGATGCTCATTTAAGAACTGCAAATATTCAACAGCACCAAGTCGATGAGGTAAAACAAAAGGGCCGACAAGCACATTTCCTACAATTCCTGCCCAAATGTTTAAACTAAAATTATGTTGAAATGTTGTCATAGATACTTCGTGAGGATTTTCAGGAGCCCAGGAATGAAGATTGTGCATATTGGTTAAACCATGTCTTTGAAAAGTTGCTTCATCTGTGAAAAGTATCTTTGAGGCAAAATTCAAATTATTTCTTAGAATATTAAGATACGATTCGCAAAAAACAACTCGCTTATGCATGTCTGGTTCAAGTAGAGCTTGAACTGGCCGGTGGTGAAAAGGATATAATAAATTATCATGGACAATATTCCAAACAACACTATGGGACACATTTAAGTGCATTGCTGTTTTTCTCGTACTAGTCTGACGATTTTCGTCAAACTCTTCAAGTACTGCATCCTCAAGATAAATAGTACGAACAGTAGGTCTTCGGCCGGTACCCTCAATATGCGGCTGTATTTTTCCAGTTTCCCGAAGTCTTCGTTCTACCGCCGAAAAAGTTTGTCTGTGGGGAACTTGACGATTTGGATATCTCTCATTATACGCTCTTGTTGCCGCAGCACAGTTTTTGCGACATTCAAAATACACTTGTAGCATGTCCACATATTCATCATTAGTAAAATTTGGCATAATTCTTGTTAATTTACACCCAAAAAGTATTTAGCTGATAACAGTGACAACTTACAGAAGAGTTAATTGTGACAACTGGCATGACAGCAGCACACTTAGTTTTTCTTTGATTGATTGCAATCATATACGGTGTGAGGTGAATGGTAATACATTTTATTTTTTTATTAATAAACGAAAAGTTTTAAAGGAAAATTGCTAGAGAGGTAAAAGTTTCTAAAAGAACCAGTTTATCTAATGCGTATTTTTGGATATCGAGCTTTTACGAAATGTAAAAGTTATGGCAAAAAATGGCTTGAGTGGTGGTTATTTCAACCCCTTTCGAGGGGTTAAAATTTTCGAAAAATAGTTGAAAACTCGCATCTGTATTAGTAAACAACCCGTAAAAAATTTGTTATTTGTACCTCGTTCGGTTTTCAAATTACAGCAAATTTTCGTAATTTTTTTGGAATCTTTGATGGCCCATATCTCTTCAGGGGTGAACATTTTACTAAAGCAATTTTTTGCAGATCGTGTTCTTTTGAAATGTAAATTCACTGGTATCATTTATGCTACTCCATTCAAAAACACCCTGTATAAATAAATTAATCCAAAGAAACTCTAATACTGAACCATGGGGAATACCTGACGTTGTAAGCACTTCAACAGACGTGGACCCACTGTATTAAACACATAATGTCCTTATTATTTTCAATATACACTGTACCTTCTTTATAAAAAACTCACTGCTTGTATTTACATATTATTCAGAATCACTTTAAAGCAAACGTCACAGGAAAACCGTAAAAGGATATCATAACACTCATATTTTGGAGGTGTCGTATAAAAATAAATTACTTATGGCGTATACTACGCAGAAAAATTTACTTACTTGTTATAAAGGACGATGTCGGGCCTCCAAATGTGATCGGATGGGACGTGCAGCATCTCGACACCCCCGTACTCCTTGGGGTCCCATTTGAGCTTGTAGTCGTACCAGGACTGAAAAGAAATTCTCATTTTAATGTTAATAAAAATGAATAAAACAACGATATCTTTAATATAAATTGGAAATTCGAGAGACTCGATTTTGATAAATAATGGAGAACGTTTCCAAAATTCTTTGTCTTACGTACGAGAAGTTACATTTGAAAGTTTTGATATTTTTGGTACGTATATTTTTCGATATGCAGTTTGTTTAAGTTTAAGACACCAGACAAAGTTACATAGTGAGTTCCCTTAAAACTTTTATAATTTCGATTACCACAGAATTTGACATAAATTTGCATTTTTTGCCGCAAATTAGGAAAACATGAATGCTATGATAACTTTATATGTACATATAAAGTTAACAGGCCACCCCATCTACAGTAAATTTTTTTAAATTTCTTATACTGAACTTGACTGAATTTTGTCGTAAACGAATGGCAAACATCATTTCTTTGTCTTGCTTATATTTTTTTAAAGTCAGATGTGGCTCGCTACCGCTGTAGAGGGTATAACTTAAGTATTTAATAATAATAATAATAATAATAATAATAATAATAATAGTAATATTTATTATCTTAAATTTAAGTACAATCGCATAACATTTATTTGTGTTATTGTGTTATATACCTATTAATTATTAGCTTCAGTAATTAAAAAGAATCGATTTAATGTATAAATATGTGTGTAAAATAAACCTAAAAACAAGAGCATATAAATTAACGAGATATTGGTACAAAGGTTATAATAAACTACTATTTCCAACAACTTTTTTAAGAATCAAATCGTCACCTTTTCACAATGTAAATACCAAACACACACCTAAGTTGAACATCCTAATTGGCAACAGTGTATCGTCGTGGTCACAGCCTCAGCGGTGCGGTGTTTAAAATTTCTCCTAACTTGAAAAGCTTATAAAATTGTTTCGATTTTAATTTTCATGTTGTTATTTGAAATAAATATTAGTTGAAAAAAAGTCATAACTGTATCGGGGATCGAACCCGGGACCACCGCGTGACGGTACAACGCG